CTGCCTACGTATCCTCTCCGAGGAATCAAGCCTTCACGTAGTTCACCCTATGGCCTCCAAAGGCCCTCAATCCAACCTGCGGCTGATAGCATCATCAACGACCCCAATCTGAAAACAATCCAACACCTCCACCTGAGATGTAACAATGGCCGTACCCAAAACATATCCACCACCTGCATCCAAATCAACTACCTCATCATCTGCACCCATAAATAAATGACTCTCACGTTGTGCCACCTCAGCTGGAATCCCAAACAATACAGAATGACCTGGAGTATGTGGGGAAATCCCCACCCAATGTGGAGTAGCATCAACCTCCACCCGCTGTGGTATCCCTCTAATCTGATCAATACTCTCTACCTGTCGAGAGTCCAAAGTGACAAACCTGCTCAGACCAAACTTAGAAGCTCCCCACTGATAGCCGAACGAGCCTCTGAATCCCAAATGCGCAATCGGATCCAATCTCACATCCACGATGTGACCAAGTGCTGAGTAGCCAAATATCCGACGCCAACCAAAAACTAAAGCAGCTCCACCAGATCTAACAACTCTATACGCAGCAGTTGGCAACCTCATAAGATGACCAAAACCTGTCGAAACCTGAATACCCACTGCTCGACAACCAATGCAGATCCTCCTCCAGAAAAGAACGGCTCACTAAATCCGCCATCTCATCTCGTCGCCCCACTGTCTCCTCTCCTCTGAAGTGTCTCCAACTGCCATGAGCTCGGCACCAATGCAAGAAAGGACTCCTACTAGAACAAGTACGACTGGTAACCTTTCTGCCCATACACCTCCTCCAACTATTACGGACTACTAGGGCTTTATACCAACGGGACTTGGTTACAACCCAAATATGCCTAGTACAATCCCCAACATAGGAAACAAAATAACGATTACCTCCCGATGATGCCTCCTGGGAAAGCCCCCCAATGCCTGACTGGACACCTCCAATAAGACCCCTCGATCGATGGATAGAAGTGCTGAACTCCACCTCGGTCTTCTCGCTCATCCCAATGTGCTCACATGACTTCAATCTACGGGTCATAGCACTCCTCAACAATATGTGCACGGTATAACCAACAATATATCCCAGCACCAAACAATGTCATAGTCTAGTCATAGAAGTAGTCAGCGCCCTATCAACTACCGTGCTCCCAAGCAGATAATACAAGTTACTCCGTCTGACTTCCTTCATCACAATCATAGACCCCGATGTGACCTTAAAGCGAGAATCCGCCAAGGTCACCCTATAGCCTGATGCCTCCAATACCCCAAGTGAAATGATGTTCTTCCTCAGTTGAGGAACGAACCTCACATCAGCCAACTCCCGGATCATCCCGTCACTCATCCGAACCTGAACAGTACCAATACCACCAATAGGGCATCTGTGATTATTACCCATGAGAACAGCATCCCCTCTTTCCAACTCCTGAAAGCTGGAGAACCAATCCCTTCTAGGGCATATGTGGTAAGTAGCACAAGAATCCAACATCCACTCGGTGGAGTCGGCAACATCAACTGACGGAAGAGCTGGGCACGAATAGCCCGAAGAATCTGAATCTGAAACATCGCCACTAGCCTTGGCAACATTTACCTCTGAAGCTTGAATAGCTTTCCCTTTATTCTTCACGGCTTGCAATTTTAGGCATTCGGCTTTCCAATGTCCATCCTCTCTACAAAAGGCACACTTATTCCTACCAACTGCAGGATGCCCCCCTCTAGACTGTGACCTTCTTCCACGATTTGGACTTCTAGCTCTTGCAACCAATGCCCCCGCAACCGGCTCAATAGAAGTCTTCTTGTCCTTCTTTCGAAGTTGATAGTTCACAAGGGCTGCGGTGACCTCACTATACGAAAGAGATGCCTTCCCATTAATAAGAGTGAGGACGAAGGTCTCATATTCCTCGTCGGGCAAGGAACTCAATAACAACAATGCCTTGTCCTCGTCTTCAACCTTGACATCTACATTCGTCAAATCTGCAAGTAGCTTCGTGTAGTGGTTCATGTGATCACTAATGGATGTCCCCTTCTTCAATTGGAAGCGATAAAGCCTCCTCTTCAAATGCAAACGATTTTCAACGCTCTTCGTCAAATATTTGCCCTCTAGGACCTCCCAAATCTTCTTTGCCGAAGTTTCATTCATCACATCATATTTTAGATCTTGGGTAAGGCAAGACCTAATCACACCACACGCCGTTCTATTCATTTTATTCCAAACTTTTTCATCAACGTCGGCCGGTTTTCCGTCCAACTCCAATGTATCTTCCAAATTTTGCGCATTTAGCGCATCCATGACTTCGCATCGCCAAAGTCCAAAATTATTTGTGCCGTTAAACTTTTCAACATCTATTTTCATAGAATGTATATTCAAAATTTGGACGGCCTTCACACTAGAAGAACCCTCCCCACTTTTATCTTTTCCGGCCATAATCTCAAAGCACCCAATAAACAATTGCGGAACAAATAGGAAATAGATCCAACTTAAAAAAGATAGAAACTTTACCACAAAGATCCCACCTTTATCACCAATCGAAGCTCTAGATGAACTTCCCAACTGATCTACACCTCCAAAAAAGCCCAAGCGTTGCCCGGAGCTCTGATACCACTTGTTGTGCCTCGAGAACCCAAACCAATAGCCGAGAAAAAGATAAACCACAACCAAAATCAATAGCACAAACAATCAAACACCAGTTTTACGTGGTTCGGCAAGATGCCTACGTCCACGGGGCAAGGAGGGGAGAGTTTTTACTATTAGAAATCAAGGGGATACAACTAGGGTTACAAATCTCTCACCAAAACCCTCAACAAATCACTCTATCTCTCCAATTGACCGCCCACAAAACAGAAACTTTTGCGGTCGACCGGGCCGGTCGACCGCCCACAATTCTGACGCCCAGTAAATAATGTGCACGAAAGCGGTCGACCGCGCCGGTCGACCGCCACCCTGTCAACCTGAATCCTGAGCCTGAAATCCAAATCTATTCTGCCCATCTCCTACAGGAGCTCCATAAAAGAAGGAGGGCTTCCCAATGCTTATTTTTTTAATTTTTAATTCTAAAATGTTTGAGAGCTCTTGAGAGCTTGCTGACTAGGACTCCCAACTAGGAGCTTGATGCACTTGCTCTTAGAATTTATACATATATAATATCCATTAAAAATATGTGTACGTGTTAGGGGAGTTACACTAAACCCTTGAGAACTTTTAGCATTTTGTAGTAAACTCCCGATAACTTTGAAAAAAGCACACTAAATCTCCAAGAATTTTCGATGCTTTATAGTTAACCCCTAATAACTTTTAAAATTGCATCAAACCCCCAATAACTTTTGTAGAAAATTTTGAAAGTTAACTTCGTTACATCTAACGTGCCACGTGGAACTCTTATAATAAAAGGACCAAATTACCCCTTACATTATTTAAGAAAGAATCATTTTATGATCTTTTTATATTTTCAATGCTAAACCATAAATCTCTCGTCTTTTGTAATTCGTTCCCCTCTTGCTCGCCCCATTGTAGGGTCCTAAAAAAGTTTTTTTGCTAAAATTTTCCTTCAAAATGCATTTTATTTTATTTTATTGGTTTTAATTTATAGGGGTTATCTGGGAAATGTGAAAAATGATTACGAGTTTGCTGCAACTAAAAACGTTATTGAGGGGTCTAGTGTGATTTTGAAAGTTATCGATGGTTTACTGCAAAATGCTGAAAGTCTTAAGGCCACATTTGCTTTTTTATCTTCGGGGACTCGGGGGTATTATAATCTCCGGAATCCTCGGAACTACATTATGATCATACGGACTATGTGATTCTAGTCCAATGTTTGTTTTTATGAGGACTAATTAATATTCGAACTAACTTAAAATAAATAATACGTTAGTCTAGAATATAAGTAATATTTTCCGGACTAATAGCATCACTAAAATAACTTAATTGACCTTTCCTCAACTAATATTGTATGTATTAATGAATTAGTTTGACAGGCAATTCAATTTCCGCCCATGAATTTGTCTGAAAAATAAACATACCACCCATATTTGTCAATATGATATAAACAACGTAGCTAGTCATTTAAACACAACTGTAGAAAACCGAAAACATCGAATTAAGTACGACAATTCCCCAACAAAAAGTGGACGTGCAACAAAGTCCCCGGTAGGAGGGTCATGAAGGAAGCATTGACCAAGTTTTCTATAAATTTTTTGGGAGTTACCACAACAAAACTTAGCGTGCGTACTAGAGCTTAGCATACTTAGATGATCATATTCTGCAGGTTACAGCTTTAGTGCCTTAAAACTAGGGGTGCATTCGATCCGGATACGGCTCGGATATGATGCCTACCATATCCATATCCGCTTACTCATCTCAGATACGGTTACGGATACGGATATACCTCGGTAAGAAAAATTCATATCCATATCCGCTAAAATCGGATACGGTTACGGATATACATGCGGATATATAAGCGGATATGTATACAGATACAAAACGGATATGAGAAAGCTAGATAGTATTGAGAAAAACATAGTTCATGTGATACAAAAGAGTTTGTTTATATGTTCATTATATCTGAAAAGTTAAGATTAAACATATTGATCATAAAAAATAACCACAAATCCATAATCTAAGAATCAAAAATATCGTAAGAGTATGACTAATATGTATTCAGATATTTCGGATACGGATACGGATATTTCACTATAAAACCATATCCGTAACCATATCCTATCGGTTATAGAGTTTCGGGAGAAAGATTTGATCTAGAATTAATTTAAAAGGTTAAGTGTAATTTTGTCTCAGAATCAATCTTAATCCGGACTGCTAGTAGTCGCATTATGAAGATAATTAATAAGGGGGAGTTGGGTTTATATATATAGTGCCCTTTTGCGGGGCTACTTAATTACCCACTTAATTAAGATAGTCTGGACATAATTAAAAAAAAATAGACGTGATAGTACCAGGTATTTAAAAAACAAACATAATCTTAGGGTTTAGTGTAATTTACCCTTCATGATATGAACGTACTCTATGAAAAAGCTGGATCCGAGTTCAGGAATTCTTCAGACTAAAATCTTCAAACAAAAGTTTCCGGAATTTTTTTGAAAGTTTGCTGAAGAAAGCGGATGGAATCCCTGACACGTCACGAGTACATGCATCAGAGATCCCTTGGCTCCCTGTAGATTTTGCACAAAAAGAAAAATGTGAGCCCAAATTCAACTTTCCATCAATCAAACAAAAAATGAGAGCTATTTGAGAAAAAGGCACTTTGAAGAATACTGATGTCGTCAGAATTCCAAAACTGAAATTGATGCCAAACGGCCTCTAAAGCTTCTCCGCCATAATGCCGTTTCTAGCATCAATTAGCTTAATTATATAGATTGGCGTAAATTACACTAAACCCCAAGAACTTTCAGTGTTTTGCAAAAAATGCCCAATAACTTTCAAAATCACGGTAAACCCCCAATAAAATTTTAGAACTGTAGAAAACTTGTGGAAACGTAAAATAGAACCAAAAAACAACATAAAAAGGCATTTTAAAAGTTAATGTGGGTTTAGTGTAATTTACTAAAAATATACTGGGGGTTCTTTGCAAAAATTATTAGGAGTTCAGTCCTATTTTGAAAGTTATTAGGGGTATATTAAAAAAACACTAAAAGTTTGAGGGTTTCAGTTTGATTTATTATGCGAGTTTAGTTCCACATTAGATAGAATGAGAAAGAATCATGAGTTTAAAATAAAAGTTAGGACGAATACCTAGTAGCTATATATTTTTAATTAAAATGAGCCCCTAGCCTCTATTTGAGGCCTATCAACTCTATAGTGGGCCGGCTTGAAGAAATGGTGAGAGAGTACAGGAAAACAGCAGGAGAATCAGCTAGGCAGACTGGCGGTCGACCGTCGCGGATCGACCGTCGCGGTCGACCGCGAATGTGTACAAAGGCCACTAGGACTCAGAGCTGAAGGCAGTTGACCGTGGCGATCGACCGCGAGGACCCTGTAGGTGTTTTTGGTCTCGGGATGAGATTCGGTCGACCGCGAGACCTGCGAGGTCGACCGCTGTGGTCGACCGCAGATGGATTTTGGGCTAGGCTTTGTATTTTGACCCGGTTCGTTTCTAAGTTGATATATAACCCTAAACCTGATTAATTAGGGTTAAGCAAGGATAATTTTGAGCAGTCTTTTGGAGAGGATTACTGCATCCAATTGTGGGAGGTTTGTGGGAGATCTAGAGCTTTGTTTTAGGGTTTGATCGGTGAGATTTGTAACTCTATTTGTATTCTCTTGATTTCTAATAGTAACAACTCCCCCCTCCTTGCCCCGTGGACGTAGGCAACTTGCCGAACCACATAAATCATTTGTTCTTGCTATGGTTGTGATTTGCTTATTGGTTGTGGTTTATCTCTTGGATTATTCGTGTCGCTCCTTGAAGCTTTCGCCGCGCATAACAATTGGTATCAAAGCTTCAGGCTCGTTCGAAGGATTCGGTGAAGATTCCTATCTGAAGAGTTAGATCGACAATATGGGAGATGCAAGTACTTCAGGTTCGTCTCTTACGAAGGCGATACAGAGTCTGAGTATCAATAACACCAAGATTGATATTCCGAAGTTCGACGGCAAGATCAATTTCGGATTGTGGAGGTGTCAGGTGATGGACACCTTGGATGCACAGAATTTGGAGGAGACTCTTGAGTTAAAAGAGAAACTCGCTTATATGGAGGACAATGTTTGGAGGAAGATAAACAGTAGAGCTTGTGGTGTTATTAGATCATGTTTGACGCCGGATCTTATTTATGATGTTTTGAACGAGACGTCAGCGAAGAAGATGTGGGAAACACTCAATGAGAAGTATCTTACGAAGAGCATTGAGAATCAGCTTCACTTGAAGAAGAGGTTTTACAAGTTCAAGATGAAGAGGGGAGTTTCCATCATGGAGCATGTCAACAATTTCACTAAGCTACTTTCAGATATGGCCAATGTGGACATCATAGTTCGAGGCCGAGATCCAAACCGTCGCCAGTTCAACCGCTCAAAGTTAAAGAATAGGAGTGCCTATAAGAGTGTTGGTAGAAATCAATATCGGTATTATAAAAAAAAAGGACATTGGAAGATTGACTGCCCAAAGTGGAAAGAAAAAGCTAAGAAGAATAAGGGAAAAGCTGCACAAGCTTCAGAAGTAAATGTTACAAAAGCTATTGGTGAGCATTCAGATTCAGATTCTTCAGGCTATTCATACCCTACATTACCATCGGTTTGCTATGCGGATTCCACAGAGTGGATGATGTATTCAGGAGCTACATATCATATCTGCCCTAAGAGGGAGTGGTTCTCTAGCTTCGAGGAGCTAGAAATATGGGATGTCGTGCTTATAGGTAATGACCACGTATGCCCTATTGGTGGTATTGGTTCAGTCCAGATTAGGATGCATGACGGTGTAGTGAGGGAGTTGAAGGAAGTAAGGTTCGTACCGCAGTTGACGAAGAACATCATTTCTCTTGGGACTTTGGAGGCAGCAAGATATCGAGTGATCTTAAAGGATGCTACAGTGAAGGTCACGGAGGGATCTATGATGGTGATGCGAGGTATCAGGGAAAACAACCTATACTACTTGAAGGCTAAGACAATTACAGGGGTCTGGCAGCTTCTATCACTACAGAGGATGACACTACCACTTTATGGCACATGAGACTTGGACACACAGGAGATAAGTCTTACAGTCATTGGCGAAACAGGGGCTATTGAAAGGTGCTAAGACCTACAAGATGGAGCTGTGTGAGCATTGCGTATTCGGGAAGAAGACTAGAGTGAAGTTTGGTACCACTATTCATAACACCCGAGGTACATTGGATTACATTCACACAGATATTTAGGACCCTTCCAAGAACACATCTCTTGGTGGGGCCAACTATTTTGTCACTTTCATTGATGATTATTCCAGAAGAAATTGGATATACCCTATGAAGCATAAACATCAGGTCCTGGATATTTTTGTGGAGTGGAAGAAGAAAGTAGAGCTACAGATAGGTAGAAAGGTGAAGACTCTATGTTCAGATAACGGTGGAGAGTACAAGAGTGATCCGTTTCTACAGTTTTGACGGGATCACGGTATTAGGAGACACTTCACAGTTCGAGAGACACCGCAATAAAACGGGGTGGCTGAGAGATTGAACCGTACCTTGCTGAAGAATGTGCGATGTATGATGACGCAGAGTGTATTGCCTAGATCTTTTTGGGCCGAGGCGTTGGTTTATGCGAGCTATATCGTGAATAGGTTATCGTGCACTACGATAGACGGAAAGACTCCTTTGGAGAGTTAGTTTGGTTCGGTGGCTAGTGACTATGAGTCGCTTCGGATATTTAGGTGTCCAGCTTATTACCATATCAGTGATGGTAAATTAAATCCGAGAGCGAGGAAAGTAGTCTTTGTGAGATTTAGAGATGGAGTCAAAGGCTTCAAGTTATGAGATCCACAGGATAAGAAGATAGTTATTAGCAGAGATGTCACATTTGATGAGGCGTACATGATGAGGCCTTGAGTCCCTCAGCAGGTGGAGGGAGACCAGACAGTTGAGATATCGCAGCAGGTGGAGGATGATGTGACTCCACCCACTCCAGAGAGCATTGTATCCATCGAGGCTCCTACAGAGGTGATACTGGGAGAAGATGAGATGACAGCCGGGTAGATAGAGGATACAGTAGATTATGGGACTCAGGAACAGGGTCATGTTCAAGGGTCCATTGCAGCAGATAGACCGAGGAGAGTAATTCGTCGGCCAGCTAGGTATAATGATATCATGGTCGCATAGCATTATCAGTGGAGGTCGTTGATGATATGATTCCATCCACATTCAGGGAGGCAGAGTCTAGCCCCGGTTTGATCAGGTGGAGGGAAGCTATGGAGGAGAAGATGCAGTCTCTTCAGAAGAATGATACTTGGACACTTGCACATCTACCTAAGGGTAAGAGAGCTATAGGTTACAAGTGGGTATATGCGAAGAAAGAGGGATCTTCTATTGGGGACATTCGATTCAAAGCTAGATTGGTTGCCAAGGGATATGTACAGCTTGAGGGCATTGACTACAACGAGGTATTTTCACCCGTTGTAAAGCATTTGTCGATACGGATTTTATTGGCGTTGGTTGCATAGTTGGATTTGGATTTGGTCCAGATGGATGTAAAGACAGCCTTTCTACATGGTGATTTAGATGAGGAGATCTACATGACACAACCCTTGGGATTCAAAGCTGCAGGAAAGAAAGACTTGGTTTGTAAGCTGAAAAGTCTCTTTATGGTTTGAAACAGTCACCAAGACAGTGGTATAAGAGATTCAACGGCTTTATGATTGGCCGAGGGTACACAATGAGCTCATATGACCCATGTGTTTATATGCACAAGCTACAGGATGGTGAGCACATATATTTGCTTTTATATGTTGACGATATGTATATTGCTTCCAGGAATTCTTCGGCTATTCGAAAGTTAAAAGATGAGCTGTCATCCGAGTTCGAGATGAAGGATCTTGGACAGGCAAAGAATATATTAGGTATGGAGATCGAGAGAGACAGGATGAAAGGGAGTTTGAAACTTACACAGAAAAGCTACTTGTAGAAGATGCTGAAGAAATTCAGCTTTGATGACAAGCAAAAGCAGTTAACACACCATTGAGGATTGCACAGGAGACCATTCAGGTATATTGTGATAGCATGTCGGCTATCTATTTAGCGAAGAACCAGGTTTATCATGCGCGCACGAAGCACATTGATGTCAGATTCCACTTTGTTCGTGACGTTTTGGATGATGGAGACGTCTTATTGGAGAAGGTCCACACGAACAACAACCCTGCAGATATGTTGACCAAAGTTGTTTCAGGAGTAAAATTTGATCATTGTTTGAAGCTTTTGAACATTCTTCAGTGTTGAGGCCTTTGGAGGCCATTTGGGTGAACTACGTTCGGCTTGATTCCTTGGGCAAGAGGATACGTAGGCAGTCTTTCAGATGCAGCCGGTTTTGTTGATTCAGATTAGGGGGAGATCGCGTTTCAGCTCTAGTTTGGTTCCCGGACCTGTTGCGGAACTATTGGATGATTTGGTGTCGGCTCAGTTTTGGTAGAAACATTCGCCGAGGTGGAGAATTAAAAAAATGGCGAGAGAGTACAGGAAAACAGCAGAAGAATCAGCCAGGCAGACTGGCGGTCGACTGTCACGGTCGATCGTGAACTTGCACAAAGGCCACTAGGACTCGGAGCTGAAGGCAGTCGACCATGACGGTCGACCGCGAGGACCCTGTAGGTGTTTTTTGGTATCGGGATGAGATTCACCGTGGTCGACCGCGAGACCTGCGAGGTCGACCGTCGCGGTCGACCGCAAATGGATTTTGGGCTGGGCTTTGGATTTTGACCCGGTTCATTTCTGAGTTGATATATAACTCTAAATCTGATTAATTAGGGTTAAGCAAGGATGATTTTGAGCAGTCTTTTGGAGAGGATTGTTGCATCCAATTGTGGGAGATTTGTGGGAGATCTAGAGCTTTGTTTTAGGGTTTGATCGGTGAGATTTGTAACTCTATTTGCATTCTCTTGATTTCTAATAGTAACAACTCCCCCCTCCTTACCCCGTGGACGTAGGCAACTTGTTGAACCATATAAATCATTTGTTCTTGTTGTGGTTGTGATTTGCTTATTGGTTGTGGTTTATCTCTTGGATTGCTCGTGTCGCTCCTCGAAGCTTCTGTCGCGCACAACACGGCTTTCCCCACAAAAATGATATAAAGAATAGAAAAAACCAGGTTGAAAAACCAAGTGAAGCTAACACGTGGATACTCATATGAGTGATATAGTCTGGTTAACTTAGAAATGAAATGGTGGAAGTTTAGAGCAAGTTAGTGAGAAGATTGAAAGAGCACACAAGTGAAGTGGTGGAAGTTCAGATCACGTTAGTGAGGCCCACAAGTGAAGTGGTTGAAGTTTAGACCAAGTTAGTGAGAAGACTCAAAGATTGAATTGTACTTACAAAACAAGGACAAGATGTTGAGGTTATTAATATGTGAGTACAATCACATATAGGATAGGGTAAGAAAGAGTCGTGAGTTCAAAATAAGAGTTAGGACCAATACCTAGTAGTTGTAGCTTTTAAATTAAAATTAGTTTAAAACCTCCCTTTAAGGTTCCTCAACTCTAGATTGGGTCTAATTTCTGCCCTATAGATTGATATCATTTATCTGGGACCCAATTTCTCTCCTTAGATTGATATCTTTTATTTAGTATCTATATATATAGATAACTAGAGGGAGATACTGTGATTATTAAATGTGAGTATGTCTCACAAAGAATAAGTTAAAGAGAGAATCATGAGTTTGAAATAAGAGTTTGAATCAATACCTAGTAGCTTCAGTTTTTAGGTTAAAATTAGTTCTTAGCCTCTATTTAAGGCCCGTCAACACTAGAATGTGCCTAATTTTCCCCCTATAAACTCATATCATTTATTTAATATCTATATATGGATAATTCTTGTAATAATACAATTATTTGTTTTGACATATGAGATCTACTTTATCCCCTTCCCATCCAGAAAACAAAGAGATAATTAATTTTATTTTTATTTTTAGATGAGAAGGAGATAATTAATTTAAAGCAACAAAAATTGCACATCGAACCTTTATTTACTTAGAGGACTTGCATGCGTGATTAGCGTCTACGTGAGTTTCTGTCTCAAACTAATTAAAACAAGTAGTTTTGAGGTTCAGAAAGTTTTGCGTCGCTTTTTAGATTGATGTTTCACTTGTACTCTGGTTACCCCTCTTTCTCTCTTACACACACGGACACACAATCCGAAAAAAAATAAAAATATAAATAAAAATAAATGAATAGATATGAGAGGACTTTCATCAATCACACCTATCAACTGTTGGGAATCTTCTCACAATAACACACATATTTGCCTTGAACAAACTCTCTCTGCAAACTGTTACCAAGTTTTATGTCCGTACTAGAAGAACATCATATAATCTTTTCCTCAATCTTTTTGGTTTTTATTAATAATGAATGTAACGATGTCAACAGACTGAAGAACTCTCGACATCTTGCTTTCTCCATAATTTATCTTATTTTAAGCTATACAGATCATATCTCAAACAACAATGTGGTGACTTACACTATAAGTCTGGCAAATACAACCATCAACATTGAATCAAACACATTGCTCACAAGAAAGCGGAAAGAGAAGAACACGTGCACATGCTAGTGAAAATAAAGAGAGCTGCATTAAAACCATTGGCTTTCTGAAACTTGAGCTTTGGGAGTAATAAATAAGGACAACCTTAAGTTTTAAGCAAGTATAAAATAATCCTAGTCAAGAAAGGTAGAAGATGGAGGCATTATGTTGACGGGTATACAATATCAAACTGGTTGGGTAACTTGAACGTAACGGGTTTGAATAAGGTAATGGATATTGGTGAATGTTGTTAAACCATAGGAATTAAGGATTATATAATCCATCAGTCATGATCATGAGTTTTGGCATAGTTTTTTATGTACCGTGAAGTTATGTTTTCCATAATATTTTCACCACAAGAGTAGTGAACCTGTTCAGAAATATTTCATTGTTGTGCTAATTTGATTATTTCTTCTTGTCACACCCCGAGCTAGTTGGCATAATATAAGTTATGGAATCTACGGAGTGCAACACATGGTTTAGCTCAATCCATTGTAAAAATTAATTAACTAGTCAATATTGCGCCTGACTCTTTGGACTTGTATCATAAACCATCCAATCACCCAATCAATATTCGATGTGGGACTAAATCTTGGGATATCACAATAGCCCCACCTTAATTACATGACATCCTCGTTAGTCTCGTATATCACACTTAGTTCCACCTTAATTACAGTAACGCCCATGCGATCAAGAAACTTGGGGAAATTGATAAACTCGCTAACAAATCATAACATAGTAATCCCCCATGACGACTTGGGGAAACTGATCTCTCACATTTTTTGGATCCTTAGTTCTCCATGGCCTATGCATCCTATGAATGTTTCCACACGTATGAAAGGACCAATAATTTGATTTCAATCATTCAGTCATTATGGTTGTGATTTAGGTACAAAATAGAAACAGAACGCAATTTGTATAAGAATATGGTAAATGTTATATTTAAAATGAGTTACAACCCTCCACAACCACACATCAAGCAACGAACAGTTGACATTCTCTCCACTACCTTTTATAGGGGGATATGATCCGAAGCCTGTCTAAATTACTGTTGTCGTCATCTTAGCTTACTATGGGAGCAATCCCACACAATTCGAACTTTCATAAAGCTCTCTCTATAAATATAACCTTGATCACATCCAAACAATTCAATCTTGCAAACCCAACATCTTTCCTGTTAACAGAAAGCGCGGGTCGGCATAATAATACCTCCTGAAGAAAGTTACTTCGCTACCATTACCGGTCATTTCTTAACAGATTAAGCTCCAATATGACAGAAAAATGACTATGCAAAGCAAATCTTTCACCAATCCAACTAATCTAAGGTCAGATATAAGAAGAGCCAACCAAAAGGCTCACCAAATAGGCTATTTCCTTGGATTATGCCGGAACAATGGCTATCAATAACAACGTTCAATATAAAATTCTGTTGATGATGTAAATACCAATAATAAGAGGAACTCGAAAATCCATCTTAGCAACACAAAGCAAAAATCCATGACAAGGGGAGAAAAGATAATTAAGGCTAAGTAACCTCTGCTCCAACACAAAACTGGGAACTTAATTAGACCTTCTGCAAAAACCCTCGTCAGCTTGCATACATTTAGCACGTTTATACTTCATTGCTGATCCTGCATATATATGACCACTGTAATTGCTTCAAGTGTAGCAATATATGGAAAGTAGAAAATAGATAATAGATTACACATGAAACAATCTACTTTTGCTTCGGAAGAAAAAGGAGCAATGAACAATATGAACAGTGGAATATTGCCTGATGATACGTTGGATATTATGGAATGTTCCTGCTCCCTAGACAACATCGAACTGTGATTCCTTTAGCAACAAGATTTTTTTTCAGCAAATAAAATCTGATGTTGCAGATATTTTAACCGAGTAACCTTGATCTCTTACTTTTTTTGTATCAGCGAGCTCTGATTCTATATTAAGTTAAAGTAGTTCTTCAATTTTTGATGGAAGATCACACATTGGCTCGCTTCAGGTAAACCATAATCCCCATACCAGTCAATACAACTGCACCAGCCATAAGCCCTGTTGTAAGCGGAGTCAATTGACTTTTTTCGACAACTGCCAAGTCAGAAGATATTTTTGTCGCTTCTTCTAGTTTTGTTGTACTTTGTTTGGTATCAGAGTTATCAATGTGCAGCCTGAGAACCTGAGTACACAAGGAAAGCAGCTGCAACATTAGGACCATATGGAAACACATGCAAGCTAAAAATACATGTGCAAAAAATGAGTACAGCAAAAATGAGAATGTTATGATGGTCTTATGGGTATACGCTAAAAGACAAGATAAGAAGTAACATCTGTAGGAGATTAGAAGTTGCTCCTATTTATGAAAAAATGAGAAAGAACCGGTTGAAAGGTTTGGTCATGTACAATAAAGCCCTCTTAGTGCACCGGTTAAGAAAAATGACAATATGTTATCAAGGGGTTTTTGCCTTTGAACCCAAAGTTTTTACCCTCATTTATTTTTAAGCCCACTTCTATCTATACCTATATACAGAAAATATTTTCCCTTTATATTTTAAGCTCAAAACATCAAATACACCCTATTCTTATATAGTATTTACCAAAAAGAAAGTTAAAAGAATTCAAAATGCCCTTGTCATCTCCCTACTCCTCTTAACTATCACCCATTCTTCTCCCTCTTCTCACCCTCTCTGCCTCTTTGTTTCAGCCTTCATCCATCCTCTCTAACGACCCTCCTCCTCCCTCTCCTCCACTGCTTCATCCTCTCCATCTCCCAACATCCCACCTCTTCCATGTCATCATTGACTTACAGTTTTTTATGTTATATTTGCATGTATTGGTCCTAAACTTATAGGTTTATCACTATACTTACATTTTTTTTGTTATACTTATGAGTTTTGTTGCTATACTTACAAATTTTGTTGCTATAGTTGCAGTAATTATAATAACATGTTATGTTGCTGTATTTACAGATACTGTTGCTATGTTCACAGATTTTGTTGCTATACTTATAATTTTGCTGTTACTTATATGTGTTGATGCTACATTATAGGCTTTGTTGTTATACTTACATGTTTTGTCACCATACTTGCATACTTTTTTGTCAATACTTACATGCGTTGTTGCTATACTTACATGCATTGGGGAAGGGGGAAGGGGGAATGGAGATGGAGGCGAGGTTGAGAGGAGGTAAAGTACAGATATTGTTGCTATTTCTACAGATTTTATTGCCATACTTATAAATTTTGTTGTTACTTACACGTGTTGATGCTATATTACAGGTTTTGTTGCTATACTTACATGATTTATCGTCATACTTACATATTTTTGTCATACTTTGTCGTCATACTTATATATTTTTGTCATACTTACATGCGTTGTCGTTATACTTACATGTACTGGAGGAGGGGGAAAGGAGGTCAAGGCGAAGAGCATGGTGAGGCGAGGATGAGAGAAGGTTGAGGTAGAGGTAGGAGGAGAGGGACGAGGAGGTGGAGGTGGTTGTGATAAAGAATTAGTGGAGGTGGAGCTTGGAGACGTAGAGATGGAGGGAGGAGGTCATTGAACTGTATTTTGTTAGAGAGAGGAAGAAGGGCATTTTAGGATATTTTCATTTTATTAAGGGATGCAGTATACATATATTGTTATATTTTATGCCTTTGGGTTTAAAGGTAATACAAAATGGGTGAAGATAGAAGTAAGCAGGTTTAAATAAATTAGGGTAAAGCTTTAGGCTTATAAGCACCCCAATTATGGTAAAGAAATACAGAGATAGACCTAAAAGAACATGGCTGAAAGCAATTAAGAAGGATACTCTAATACTCAACTTGACGGAGATGGCCCGAAATATAATTGAACGGAAGAACAGGATTCATGCAACCAACCCAAAAACTTTAGATATAGGCTTTGCTGCCACAGTTATTGGAAAGCAATTTGCTACCAGAGTTGGAGATTGTTCATTGAAGAGTTTCACATTTAATAAGAACAGAAATCTATTGGCACTGTCAATTAAAAGTCGAGATATTATCGAACTCAAAAAGAGTCATGGAAGCGTTGATCTTTGCTAAGCTGTACCCAGCAAAAGTAGAATCAAAGACTGTAGTGTACTACACAATATGCTGAAACAATACTGAAAGCATGCACGTATTCTCAAACAAATAGATATAAGAACATACGAACACGCATAAGCAGTGAAAACCTCCTTCCATGGTAGTTGACTAGGCTTCACCTGTTTAAGTTTTGTTTTTAACATCAAGAGTGCTACAGAAATAAAGAATATTTCAGATGTTATGTACTGTGGTAATAAGACGAGGAAGTTGGAACAGCAACTGTGTTCTCAAAATAGCGGTGGGAAAAATAGATATTCTATCATTGCAACACAAAAGAAATATTTCATGAACGATAGAGGTGCGGAAAATAGATACTCTATTAACGCAGCACAAATGAAATCTCTGATGAACGATCTTCCATGAAAATTAAACTGTAGTAAGCTTTTGTAACTAACATAAGCGGGAACGTCAACTGTATAGTCAGGTTAGAGGTTGGGAAAATAGATACTCTATCATCGCAGTATAAAAGAAATATCTCATAAACAATAGGGGTGGGAAAATATATATTCTATCAACGCAGCAGAAAAGAAATATCTCATGAACGATCAGGGTCTTCTATGAAATTAAACCGAAGTACTAAGCTTTCGTAACTAACAGAAGGGTGAACAATAGGAGTGGGGAAAATAGAAATTCTATCATCACAGCACAAAAGAAATCTCTCATGAACGATAGGGGTGGGGAAAATAGATATTCTATCGATGCAGTACAAAGGAAATATCTCATGAATGATTAGGGTCTTCTATGAAAATTAAACTGAAGTGGTAACCTTTCGTAACTAACATAAGTGGGACTTCAGACTCTAAAAACCAAATGGTACTGATAGACTTTTAAAATTTCTTCCCCGATGAAGTGAAAGAAAAAAAATCATTACGTATTATTCAACATGTCATCAATGAGCCATTTGAAATGAGGTCTAAATTGAGAAACTCCAAAAAAAAGGCCAGGATTCTACAAACTGGCTACCAATCTGACATCAACCCTCGATAAACTAGTGCGGAATTCCAGACTAGGAAACTAAAAGCAAGAGAATGTCTTGACAAAGAGCCTAATAGGAAAGCCCCCACATATGTAGACCTCACTGTCATAGTCATGCTTTGAGTTTACCTATACAAGGAGCTGTTTACGTGTTTTTAAGTATAGAGCTTTGGGAGAAAAATGGACGATTCTATTCTTTGTATTAAAGTATTTTTTTCATAATTGTGAAGGTAGTTGTTCTAGTATCCCAAGCAATGTGGGACTAAAAGAAAGGGAAACAAATGTACATATCTACTACGTTTAACAGGAGCAACCTTCCAACATTTCCTACACGAAAAGCCAAGACAAAGAAGTAAAAGATGTGAAACTAGGATAGCATAATATATGCCAAAGAGCCAAATGGAATCCAATAGCCACAAGAAAAAGGGCAGAACTCAAAAAGCTGGTCTCTCTAATAGAAGGTCAGTTAATGACCTAGAATACCAGAGTTCTGAAAGGCAAATAAAACATAGCTAGGACATACTTAGTAATTTTGAGTTGCCAATGTTTGAGGGTGAAATATACTAAAATGACATGGAAAATCAGGTACACAACTCCATATAGATATCCCTTACATGACATGCAATAATCCAAATAGAAGGTGGGCATAATGTGGAGCATCAATGTTTGAATTAATAACATCGAAAGGGAGAACACCTTCCACCCTGCTAATTTGGCATGATTCACAGCTCCAGCAAGGTCACTATCCGTGGCAAGCAGAACCTTATCACCTTCATCATCCACATACTGCATGATGCAAGATAAATGATTCTCAGTTACATAAGCAGAATAATAGCCTACAATTTGTTTCATAGTATTATAAACCTACCAACAAATGAATCTTCTCCTTGCTATCTTCAAGCCCTACTCTCTGTTTTACTGCAGATTCAAGCTCATCTAGACTCTCGGTACCTATAAAAAATTTAAAGACAGTATCATTACTATGTCAACATTTGTTTTTGGCACCAATCATTCCACAATATAATTTAATATCTGAAAACATACTGCTCTAATATGAATACTGACCAGAATTGAATCTATGCACTCGCCCTTTCTGGTCTTCGAACTTGAAGGAGAATGAGTTTCCAAGAAGAGGTGGGTACATGGATTTCGCAGTATCTGCATCAGATGGTACCATTCCAGAAAGCTCACTGTGTATGATCAAACAGAAGTGAGGAAGCCTTGCTGATCACAAAGCATCAACTATGCTTGGGGTTTCTTTCTTGTTGGTTTGTAAGCGAGAGAGCGAGAGCGAGCGAGCGAGAGAGAGAGAGAGAGAGAGAGAGAGAGAGAGAGAGAGAGAGAGAGAGAGAGAGAGACCTGCGACTATCATATTCCTCATCTGGTGGCTCTAAAGCAAGAGCAGAATCCCAAAACTTCTGCATCATTGTGTTTGCCATGTCATTTACAGCTCCTTGACCTCCTTCAACCTTCAGAAGCAACTCAATGAATTAATCACATGAACACATAAACATAACAATTACAATAGATGTCAAAAGTTTATAGCTAGTTCTAGAATAAGCTGTCATTTCAGGCTACTACCCAAAGAAGAAGAAGAAGAAGAAGAAGAGAAGAGAAAAAGAAACATGCACATGTCCGGTTTTGCACTTGAACTTGTTTTCCATGAATTTGCTTAATTCTACTCAAGAAAACTTCTCCACTAATATATCGATAAAAGACCAGAATAAAGGAAAAAAATATCCATTGTCACATTTAAACATGTACATATTATCCATATGAGGATGAACAAGGACATAATGCAAGACCTTAATTGTACCCTTTCTGACGAAAACTACCCCCACCCCATTCTTCACCCTCATGTTGAGTCCAAACTCATTCCTTAGAGAGCCCAATTTATGTTCTCCACTTGTCCCAAACTCATTCCTTAGAGAGCCCAATTTATGTTCTCCACTTGTCCCAAACTCAAAAGTGAAATTTGGCAAAAAAATTATTTTCTCTTCACTTTTGTATGTTAACGTTTGTCAAAGGTCCCCGTCATTGCACCAAAACTCCGAAGTCATGGTGATGGTTAAGGATTAAAGTTCTATATTCTAACAAGACTCGTAGATTGAGCGTCATTTTTATTGCCTGAAACCTAGATTTGTGCAATGGTATCATTTTCTTTACAAACTTACTTTTAAAGGCGCACCTGGTAGGATATGAACTTGTGAAACCATGGCAAAGGTCTGCCATTGCACAAAAAACTTCAAAGTTATGGTGAGGGTTAAAGGTCATAGTTTTATATTCTATTGTTGGGTAATAGTAGTTGGTTTTAATAGCAGTTGGCTTTAGTTTTGCAATGAAGGAGAAGTCAATTTTGAGGAGTTTCACATCATCTAAGCAATCAAGCTTCATGAGTGTCCTTCATGTTGTCCACTTCACTTACATCAAGCTTCATGATGTAAGTGAAGGATGTTCTCATGTCGCAAGTGAAGGATGTTCTCATGTCCTTCATGTTGTCCACTTCAACTGGACAAAGGAGAATGGTTGTAGGAGTTTTCATCATGCCCATTATTGGGTGCAAGTTTTTCTTGTGGAAAGACATACGTTCTCCTGAAGAGAATGAGAAGTTGAAGAAGCAACACAAAGGACACATGAATGTTAAGGAAAAAATAAGAGAGGGAATACAAAAAAGACATTGTTATAGAAAAGAAGCTAGGCTAAAGGAAAGAGAAGGAATTGTATTTCAGTCTTTTAAGGGTCTTTGTGTTAACAAAACACGGATTAAAGTTAACATACTTTGGGTTATCAAACTGTCAAATTAGACCTTCAAGTAGCAAAGTTAAAAATGGTGAAATTTTGGGTATTGAAGTACAAATATGCCTTCAAACAATAATAGAACATTTTCTTCATAATTATGCACTTTTGTTATACTTTTTGTATTATGATTATGGGACTATTTTTTGATGCGCAAATTTTTTTCAGTTTGCCATGAAATTGGTGAGTATTGCGGGATGAAGAAATTTAGTTTTTAGTTTATACTTTTCTCAAAACTAACAAAATTAGTATTCTGCTATAATACCCTAAAAGATTGTTTAATTGAGGGTATATTATTGTTACGGAATATGAACGAAGACTTTTATTTGTGTTGCTCTTTTGATAGTTGACTCTGGAGTTCATGCCCAATCCAGACTCAGAATCCAGTGATATATTTTTACGTAAATAAATTATTTGAAGGATTGAATTTTTTCATGGGGCTTAGTCAATTGAAACTCAAAATTGGTACTAGGATAATTTGTGAAATAAAATTTTTAGGTGTTAAGTCAAATGGAACTAGAATTGGGATATTCGTGTGATAGAAGTTTAAGGTCTTAGTCGAATAGAACTAGAATGAGGGTTTTTTTTTTATTTTGTCAAGTAGAATTTTACAAGAAAGAACTGGGATAATTGTTAAAAATATCCCACTAATTGTTCTACCTATACACATAGCCAACAGTTCACCTCCCTCCGATATTCCACAGTATAGCATAGAATCAATCGGGGAAAAGAACTGTTTTTTTTCTCCAAAGAACCGTCGCCTCACCTCCTCTCGTAGGTATTCTCTCTCTCTCTCTTATCATAATTTTTTCATGTAATTTGATTTTAAACTTAATACGAAATTAAGTATCATGCACATATAATTTATAATTATTCATATAAATCTATACTAAGGTTCAAAGGACCTATATGCAACTTATTAATTTAGATCGTTCTACATGGATCTAAACTAAGGTTCAAGGGATCATATATAGTTGTAGTCCTAAATTTAAATCATTCTATGTGGAGAAACCTAATTATATATACAACCCTAACTACATGCAATTCATATGCAAGGGATTCTGGGTAATATTTTTCATAAGTAATTAATGTTTTTTGTATTTTTTCCATATGCCATACGTTCTCTAAATTTAGTTCTAAACATGATACTCTAGTATTAAAGTCATTTCTATTGAGTATGAAAACTTTTGTATTTTGATAATGGTGAAAGTGACCGGTCAATATAGTCGCCATATTAGGTCTGGCTATATGTAGCTATGGTGTAATCTACATGATTTTCGAGTTCAAACTGATTTTTGATTTGTAATTTGAACTAATGGGTTGCTTTAAATCTCAAAAGTTGCATTGTTCGATTAAAGGATTGCATATTTGACCTCAAATTTTAGTAATGAAGAATAGAAAATTAGAAACAAAAAATCAACCTTGCATATGTTTACATTCACGAGATGGAATACTAATGTGTTTTTCATGAGATGCACGAATGTTTTAATCTAATTATATATTATATATGTGTTTTTATGTTAGATGCATGTGCATTTTTATCCAATTACATATTTGAGATTTGAAAAGTTTATTTTTTAGTTTGTTATAGGAGTGCTTGAAAAATCAAGGTTGGATTATATTATATGGATTCAAGCAAAGACTAAAAAAAATTACTTAAATTGTCAGCGGAGGAAGTTAAGAACATAAATTAGCAAGCAAATGGAGTTTCAAAAAAACATGTGATTCTATGAATGCGATGCTCTCACTAGTTGAGATTTGAAAATTGTTTTAGATATAATCATGTAATTAACAAGCAATGGAAGGGAAAGATTGAACCCTTGGAGATCTCGATGAAGAATAACTTTAGTTTTAGTTAGGACCCTAACACGCAAAGTTTTACATGTCCTGAATGATGTGTTGAATGCTATGTTTCGGTTTAGTCATGCTATTTTCATATAATCTTAACTATAAATATTATACTAACCATTTATGTATATGATGTTATAGGCCCTCCAACTATTGCAAATCTCATGGCTAAACTGTTTGAGGATTTTGAGGACATATAGATGGGATATGGTGAACATGCATCTTCTAGCAAAAAAGCTATAGGGTTAGGTCCCCAGGTGTGGATGAAGCACGCTCGGATGATGTGCTTGGGCAAGATATGCTTGGTGCCGATATTGATGTGGTATAACTCATAATTTTTATTCAAGTCTTATAAAACCATTACCTTCTAATTATCTTCTTGTGATATGTAAATGACTTTTGGGATATCAAGCTCACCTCCTTTTTGGAAAACATTTTTGCATTATCGAGAGGCTTGCAGGTAGCATGGAGCGGTCTAATCATCAGTAACATAAAGTAATATGAATCTTAGTTTATAATTCTTTCGATCTTACGAATTTTAAATTCTACCAAAAGATCCAATAACTATGAATTTTAAATTCTACCAAGAGCTCCAATAAAGTTTGTCTCTAGATTAGACGTGTATGGATGCAGGTTTGAGACGCAATAAATTTACAATAGATTGATTTTGTTCATTCATTCATATGTTATGAAAACTAGAATTCCTGTAACATTTCTACTCATTTATTAAGTAGATTATAAATTGGAAATCCACTCGTTTTTGAACTAGATATCAAAACGACCCTTTTAAATCATACTTCTAGACTAGTTATTGGCTAAAACGAACCTCATCCCTGTCAAACGGGTTGTAGAAATTGGACGTGAAGTGTAAGATATGCGTCTAAGAAGTGTCTGGCAAGTGTTTCAAACTAAAACATGTATTACATCATGGATACACATCTGAATAAATGTATGCATATTTCAGGAGTATCCTAGGAGTGTTGGAGTCTGACACGTAACAGACATGCTTGCGGGAGACCAGATGAGGTGTCGAGGTAACTTAGGTCTGTGTAGCTAAGATCTTATTGTTGTTTTGTTTGATTATTCTGGATAAGGTGAGGACTTACAGACTTGTTGCTCTTTGGCAATTTGATTGTAGATATCAATAAGATATACAAAGAATTCTTCATCATGTAACCTTGATTTCTGCTCCATTGAGTTAATAAATTGTTTGGTGGTATTTGTCTTCTGTTAATAATTGTCCGAAAGATCGACATTTTATTCCTCTCTTACAGCTTAGTTATCAAATTCAATAACATATGATAGAGGACATGTAAAACTCAATAACCCCCTAAAGATTATAAGACCAAATTCTATATAACATTTACAACCCAAAAAAATTTCAGATTAGAATAATAAAATTCACAAACCAAGACAAACATATTTAGTTCTTACCATGGAAATGGCAGCGTGACTTATTTGTAGGACATCCAAGCAAGCAGTAATTTGCCCCTCTGCAAGAGACCTTTGTCTTAGACAAGTGAATACAAAGGGATCTCTCTCTAAGGCCTTAACTATAAAAAGAATAATTGCTTACCCCCATCTACAATAGGAAGATGTAAGAATTTTCCATCATGCATGATATGCAGTGCATCAAGTATTGTTGTCTCCAATGTGGCGCATTCAGGATTTGCAGTCATTACCTTGACAATCAGCACTAATTGAATTAAAAATGCATGCCAAAAAGGATGTCTGTTTTAAGTTAATCAGTTCAAAATATTAAATGTAAAGTGTTCAACAAAATTAGCATAGCGTTAACTTTTTAAGGTTCACAAACTAGTAGCAAGTTCGAGTAGCTACTTAACATGGTAATTAATTGGACGACAATGTGCTACAACAGGAAAATGCTATAGAACAACTGTTTTATCCTTATAAACCCGAGTCCCTGGATAGTCAGTAATGAAATGTTAAGTTAAATATAAGAGAAAGGTAAAGCATCGCATTCATAGCAAAATATTTTATTGCTTGCAATGAATAGAAAAAACATGCAGAGCATCAGTGTGTAGTATTGTTCACAACCCTAGTTGACAATACCATTGAAATGAATAATACAAGCATGTACTAGCAAGTTATGTACATTAAAGTGTTTCAAATAAGGTGAGTCATGCTAGTCTCCATGTAAAACAGTACCTTGCACCGACACATATATGCCGACTCGGACATACCATAGCAGCACACGATAAATTCTTAAAAAGATGCATAACATGTATCTAACACTTGTTATACACAATAGAGCTTAATATGATAGAAATATTCATGCTAGATAGAACCATGATGAGTGATCCATATAGTGTCCCGCTTATCAATTATAGACTCGTAAAAGCTGAATGAGTTGAATTAAAAATGGCAAGAATGTGTAAATTAAGGGAAAATAGTGCAAGATATTTAGGAGAATGGCAACTAGGTTAGAAGTTAATGTCATGAAGATAAAAATGCATGCTCCTCAAAACTTTTCTGGTCTCTGCATAGGCAAACACAAACAGTGGAAAGGCATAACATACTCTCTCCACATAATATGCACAAATAAAGATCATCCCCCTGAACCTATCAACTAATTTGGAAACTTAATTACCCTACAACTATAAGGTGAAGTCATTTCATTCCAAAATATGAGGCATGCTACTGTTGAGTACAGACATAGGGCTAACTGGATGCATCTTACTGTGATGGCAATGCAATTTATATGCAATTGTACTTGTTGCACCTGCTGACACATGGTATTGTAATTGTAGTTGCATGGTTTAATTTTAAAACTTATGCAATTTTCAACTGCAATTATGGTTACAAGTTTTGGTGTATCGAGATTTTTTAGACTTTTCTTGGGGGCTAGTTGCAATTGGACTTCCATTTCGAAAAGTTTTCTGCTCAAAAGGTTGCAACTATGACTTTTGTCTAAATCTTCATAAGTCAACCGTTATACATAGAGACCTTTTTGCAACTACACTTTCAACTACATTTATTAGTCATAGTGAAACAAACAACATCAACTAACTCAAAGTGTCCCAAAATGCACACAATGATTTAAAATCAACCAATATTATCGAAATATAGGCGATATATCGGGTTTTGACCCCTTACGTTACAATTTTTGGAGGAAAAAAATTGGTTATCGTTTTCACCCAATTTTAGCCAATATATCAGCAAAAACCCAATAAATCGCCGATTTTATCGGTCTAAAAACTAGCCATTTTCTTGTAAAAGAAGCCCAAAGCTTAATGGGGTTTCGAGTCATATAACACATACTTTTCAGACCCGAATCAGCCAATACTCGCAACTTAAAAGATCTAAACTTATTAGATTGATCCAACCAATCCCCAAAACGCCTCCATTGTTCACCCAAACCCTAAATCCTCCCCATCGCTATTCTCTTGCCTCCCTCCCCTCTCTCTAAAGCTCTCTCAAAGGTGTTCGAAGATCTCTCAAACATGTCTCTCAAAGTCCAAAGCGCTCTCAAAGGTCGAAGCTCCTCAAAGGTCGAAGCTCCCCGTAGCTATTTTTGTTGAGAGCTCTCTCGAGTCTCAACCACTGAAGAAATTGAAAATAGATCAGTCCTTGAAGACTCCCTTAAAGCTCGAAAAAATTGAAACAGGTACATATATTATCTTCTGTGAATTTTTATTTTTCCAAAGTTCTTTCTTTGCTAACTATATATTAATTGAACTGAATCACTGCTCGAAGATATTAGGACCAAAGGAGAGAAAAAATTGTCAAATTATGATGTGTTTTTTATTTTGTTTGTTAGCATCATCTTCATTGTCCACTATAATTTTAAATTGTAGCCTACAAGTCTCATCTTCATGATTCGCTGTATTTTTATGTTGAAACCTACAAGCCTACAACAAAAATAAGACTTACCTACTACAACAAAAATAAAACTTAAGTTAGAAACTGAAGTTCAAAACTAAAGTTTAAAACTGAAATTAGAAACTAAAATTGCATGTGATTGAAACAAACAACATGAATGTTAATTTATGATTATTTTCTGTTTTATATACTTGTTGATTATTTTCATAAGTTTATCTAAGATGTTGAATCTTAAACAATTGATAGGTGGATGTCGTCTGAAGGTCAAGGATCTAGCCAAATAGCAACTCAAGGATCTAACAAACCAGCAAAATCAAGAGGCAAAGATCCTTGTTGGACATACGGGGAGAGGGTTGGTAATGATGCAACCAATGTTAAAATGCAAGTTTTGAATGCAGATTGTGAATGGAGGGATAAGCCAGTTCAAAACACACTTGGCAGGAATTAGAGGGAATTGTACGAGTTATGATAAGGTTCCGAAAGATGTGAAAAAAAAAGCTTCAGAAATATTGCATAGGTCCAAGAAGAGTAAGGATGAGAACGAGTTGAAAGCGCAAGATTTGCTTGATGATGTCCATGTAGGGGAGGAAGAGGGATATGAGGGGAATGTGTCTATACCTACTCAAAAAAGTTCATCATTCCTTCAAGACAAAATGGCCAATGGATGCTTTTGCAAGTCACTCCCTACCGAGACGGCTGAACTAATATCAAAAGGAAAACAACCTATGATGAACAATAAATACAGAAAGAAGGCTATGGAGGATGTGAACAAGTATATGGGAAGATGGTTCTATGTATTTGGTATCGCCTTTAATACCTCAAGCCTTCCTTCTTCAAGTAAATGGTGCATGCAATTGCAAAGTTTGGAGGCTATTTAAATCCTCCATCACCATATGAGTTGAGTGAGCCAATTCTGCAAAGAGAGATGGATGCAACAAGGGAGGTCGTTGAACATTTCAAGAATTGTGCACTTAATGGGTGCTCCATAATGATCAATGTGTGGAGTGACCGCAAGATGAGGAGTACCATGAATATAGTGGTGCATTTAGAGGGAAAATATGCTTTTTGGCTTCAATGGATACATCAGACAAACAAACATAATGGGCATTATATATTGGACTTTGTGGTGAAAGCAATTGAGGAGGTAGGGTCAGAGAATGCTATGCAAGTTGTCACCGATGGAGCTTCAAATAACATAAAGGCCGCAAAAAGCTTAGCACCAACTAAGCCAAATATATTTTGGACCACTTGTACGGCACACACCATTAACTTGATGTTAGATGATATAACCAAAATCCGTCCTATTTGGAATGTGATTGTGATGAGAAGAACTATGTCGGTGCACATCTATAATATAGTCACACAAGGTCTCTTCATATCATGAGATATTGCAAAAGGGGACCTTATGAGACAAGGAGTGACGTGATTTGCTACCGTATTCCTCGCTTTAGAGTCGTTGAGAGACAAGAAAGAGTTGAAGCAAATGTTTGTCTATAACGATTGGATGAAATGCAATTTTTCGGCAAAAGAAGTGGGGAAAAGGTATAATTTTGCTTGTTTTTTATTTCCTGGCTAATTCCTATACTATGTGTATAATTAGTAATTGAAGTTACTGTCTACATTAATTTTTTTTGCATTGTAAAATCCATATGCCCAGATCTTGTTAAATGCACATATCATTTGCATAGAGTTTCTTTTATATTGTTTGTTTGTATATTTGTCTTAATGAGTCTTATTTTATTTGTGAGAACATTCTCAGCAACAAGTTTTGGGACAATGTCGATCTTGCCCTTAGGATGTTTTCTCCTTCGATAAAAGTCCTACAAAGAGTTGATAGTGATAAAACTTCATCCATGGGATATGTGCATGGAGACTTGTTGGTGGCCAAGAAGGAGATTAAAGAGGACCTTAGGGATGAAGAGAAGAAATATCGTCCTATATGGAAGATTACTGATACGAGTTCGGATGACAAGCTTAAAGGACCACTCCACAGAGCAGGGTATTATCTGAATCCCTACTACACTATTATACGTCTATCATAGAGATTGAAAAAGATGGAAGCTTCACGAGTGGCGTTATAGATCGTTTAAACAAACTCTATCCAAAAAACTATGATGCTTTTAGCAAGATTCCATCTAAACTCTTGGGTTATACCACACAAAAAGGGTCGTCCAGGAGAGAGGTTGCCATGAACCAAGCAAAAAAACATGAACTTAACCCGGGTATATTTACATTTTTCGTACAAATTTAAAACTAATTCAATGGTTTCTATTTGGAAGTTACAATGTACTAATTATTTTCACCTATAACTATGAATTAACTAGTTGATTGGTGGAAGCTTTTTGAGACTGATGCTCCCCAATCGAGGATAATAGCAATGTGAATTATAAGATTGATAACTAGCCCTTCGGTTTGCGAAAGGAATTGGAGCACTTTTGAGATGGTAATTATTTTTTAAGTTGTAATTATATTGGAGCACAATTTACTATTTTAGACTAATTTGTTCTTTTTTGTTTTGATTTGAAGATTCATACAAAGAAGAGAAATAGACTAACACACAAGAAACTACATGACTTAGTCTATGTCAAGTTCAATGTGAAATTGAAGAATAAGCATGTCAATAGGGATAGAAATCATTTACTTGCCTACGACGACGAGGAAAGATCCTCCGAATGGTTGATGAATATAGATAAGAGTGGTCGTGATGATGAGAGTGAGGATGAAGTGTTTGTGGGGGAATCTTTGACTTGAAGGCAATGCGGAGATTTTTTAGGAGTTAATCCCAAGAAGAGAAAGAGTGCAAGAAAAAAGACATATTGAAGAAGGAAAAAGTCGGGAG